CTTTTTAACGGGCTAGACTTTGTGGAAGGATCTCGCCTTTGGAATAGATACGTACAACATAGGCATATCCATGCCGATGATCAGGATATACATTTGCGCCGTCGACACGCGAACCTTGGAACAGTTCATCGCAGAAGACGACAGTCAGCTGGCCATACCGCTGCTCCCTCTACTAACTTTCGCTTATTTTGTTCGCCTTAATGATATGTGGTGACATTGAAATCAATCCAGGCCCACCCAACTATAAATTTCCATGTGGAACTTGTTGTAAACCTGTTAAGTCTAACCATAGAGGTTTACTCTGTACCAATTGTCAATCTTGGTATCACATTAAATGTCAGAGAATATCTCATACCGAATATGCTCGGTTTTATGACTGCCAAGATGAGATTTGGTCTTACGGTCTATGTTGTTTACCTCATTTTTCCGATTCATTTTTTGAACCTAATCTGCTCAACACGAGCATAGGATCAGATATTAACACGGAAAACGAAACCGCTCTTTTTAACAGGAAACCAACCTACAGACGAATCTTCTCAAAGTTACGTTTTAACGATTTTACGAAAATAAGGGTCTACATTTTGTTCAAATTAATGCCCAATCAATGCTACCTAAAATTTCCGAACTCCGCATCATTGCTCAAAAGTCCAACGCAGCCGCATTGTCAGTAACAGAATCCTGGATTGACCCATCTATATCCGATAATGAAATACAAATTGACGGTTACACTACGGTTCGGCATGATAGAAACAGAGTAGGCGGAGGCGTCTGTACATTTGTACGTGATGATATCGCTTTTCGTGAACGAAAGGATTTAGATCACTGCAGTATTGAAGCTGTTTGGTTTGAAATTATTTTCCCAAAATCAAAACCCATAGTCGTCGGCACGATATATAGGCCTCCAAAACAGCATAACTTTGTCCACTACTTTGATGAGGTACTCGCACGCATTAACAGCTCTTTTGAGATCATTATCATGGGGGATATTAACATCGATTTGAGGAAAAGAAATCATTCTCTGTACAAAATGCAATGATTACATGAACACTTTGAAATCTAACAGCCTAAAAATGTAATTAAAGACCCCACCAGAATCACACAATCGTCTTCCACAACTATAGATCACATTCTCTGCAACTTCTCACACAATATCAGTCAATCTGAAGTAATCCACACGGGAATTAGTGACCACGCCTTGATTTATTGCTCACGGAAATCAACCAAAGTAAAATTCAATCATCACAAAATCATCAAGATTCGATCGCTCAAAAAATATAATGTAAATGAGTACGTACAGAAACTCTCAAACGCTGATTGGTCAAGTGTGCTAAACTCCTCTGACGTCAACGTTTGCTGGAGAAATTTCAAAGAGATGCTCCTGCCAATTATTGACAGTGTCACCCCTTGGAAAATAATACGCGTTAAACAAAACACGGAGGAATGGTGATTTAAACGAACGAGATGATCTTTGGAAAAAATTCAATAAAGACCGTAAAAGAACTGATATTCTTCCGACTGAAAAATCGGATCCAGAAAACAATTAAAAAAGCTAAATCAAATTATATTATAAACTAGAAATTGCAAATTGCAAGTGAAGTGCTGCGAAGTAAAACTGCATAAAATGTTCTTCGAACAAAATCATTTATGCGAGTCAAGTGAAAATAATGAATAATAAAAATATAACAAATAATATGAGACACGAACCATTGTCTATATATAGAACAGCGTTGGTACCGTGTACAATAGTGTTTTGCTGCAGTGACATCTCGCTGCTGCTGGCGATGACTCGCTGCTGGCGAATCGATCTGCGCATGTGTATAAAATGGTATTTATTTCCGAAAACACTATGCCAATCTACAACAAGCGTCGCCTAAATGTAATAATTAGCACGTTGAAATAGGCTATAAATAAGTTTAACTGGGTTCGTAAATAATATTGGCCTCAAAATATTGTGGCTGAGACATGAGCCGATTAAACGTAGTAATAGGAAACCTAGAAATATAGTAAAAACGCTGAATAGTACTCCAGCGTCGCGACATGCGGACGTTGGTACGAGTAGGTTAGTCTACAAACGTCGCCTAAAGTAATTGATTTTACCCGGCAGAACGAAAGAAGGAAACTCCGCTTCTCAGTTGTCTTAGGCGCAAGTTTTTTTGACAAACAATGACCTTTCAGAGGTCAAATTGCTGTCAAGAATATGAATTGGCTGCTTCGCAGCAATTCGCAGCAATAAACTGAACGCTTACAAAAATAAACATAAGAGACTCTGGTGTTGCCTCAAGAAACTAGGTTAAAAAACACAGGTTTCAGGGACTGAAAACATTGTTCTTGGTGAAAGTGGCAATTTTTGCCACGATAAGAAATCTGTCGCTAATAGGTTTAATCATTTTTTACTAATATTGCTTCTGTACTTGTTAGCAAACTGCCCTTACCTAATTGTGTTTTCAAAGTTGGATCTGATTTTTTAAATACCTTTTATAAGAATGTATTACCAGCCAATCGTAATTTTAAATTACATGAAGTTAATAAGGTTCTCATTGAAGATGAACTTAGTAATCTAGATGCAACAAAAAGTGCCGGTTTAGACCAAATTCCCCCAAGATTTTTAAAGGATGGTTCATCTATCCTATGTATACCCATTACTCATATTATTAATCAATCCATTACCACTGAATGTGTACCCGATGAATTTAAGTTAGCAAGGGTTAAGCCGCTACATAAAAAATACCCTAGGACTGGCATTAATAATTATCGCCCCATCAGCATTCTTAGTTCGCTCTCTAAACTTCTAGAGAGAGTTGTCTTCGAACAGGTTGTAACATACCTCAAAGAAAATAATATTATTTATCAATATCAGTCCGGATTTCGGAGAAATTTCTCCACGGACACTTGTTTAATACAACTAGTGGATCATGTTCGTTTACAAATGTCTAAAGGTCTTCTCACGGGAATGGTCATGTTAGACGTTCAAAAAGCATTTTCTTGGTTTTAGATCTGTCTGCGGGGTGGTTTAGAAATTATCTCTTAAACAGAAAACAGCTTGTTGAATTAAACGGTGTTAAATCAAATCTTGTTAATATTAATCACGGTGTTCCTCAGGGTAGCCTATTAGGGCCCCTATTATTTACCATTTATGTTAACGATATGCCGTCTTGTTTAGATGATGACTGTAATATGCTTTTGTATAGTGTAATCACATTCTCCCACAAAGACTAGAATGCAAACTAATTGATAACCTCACGAAATGTAACCTCTGGCTGATTGATAATCAATTGTCCCTTTATCCAACTAAAACTGAATGTATTCTCTTTGGCACTTCTCATAGGCTGAGGAAAGTCGATCGTTTTCAACTGGATTATTCTGGACACATTATTGAAGGCTGCGATTCTGTAAATTACGTTGGTGTCAAGGTTGACCAACATGTTTCCAGGGACTTTATAGCTATCTCAGCTATAAAGAAAGCAAATTCCCGTCTAAAATACTTTTATCGCCAAAGTTCGTACTTAAATCAATTTTGTCGTAAAATTCTCACAATGGCTCTCGTGCAGCCTCTTTCCGACCATGGAGCTTCTTCATGGTTTCCAAGTATTGGCAAAAAATTATCTAAAAAACTCCAAAACAAAGCTGTACGTTTTATTTTAAACCTTAAGCCCCGTACACATGTTGGCCAACCACAATTATCTGAAACTGGAATGTTAAATGTTTCCGACAGAGTGATGTTTTTAAGGGTCTGTCATGTTTTCAAAATATTTCATAATTGCTGCCCACCCAATCTCTCCATTAATTTTCACCGTATTTCACATAAGTATAGTACGAGGGGAAGTGCTCTTAATTTTAGGGTCCCGACACTCTCTTCTGTTGCCCAAAACACTTTCTGTTATAATGCAATCAAGGATTGGAATTCGTTACCTAAAGAGATAAAAAGTTGCCCCTCACTTAGTAAATTTAAATCTAAAGTTAAAGGATATTTAAAGGAAAAAGCATGTAATGAAGAATCTGCTTCGGTGGTTTTTTATTATTCTTTTTGAACCTTTCTCTTTTTCATTTTGTTTTTTCTTTTTCGTTTTTAATTTGGCATGAAATCTCTTTTGATGCTGCCTTCGACCTTCTTGGTTTTTCGTCATAAGGACTCCAATGGAAATAATACCTTTTTAGGACTTTTTTGGGCTATCCTTGCATCTCCTTTGTATTCATTCCTCAATTCCTCCATCAATCTTCTTGGACTTTGTACTGGCCTTTTGCTTGTTTTTTTTTCAAATAAATTTTATGCCTTTTATATTGTGTATTGTTTTAATGATTGTACTGTTTTTTATATGAGATGCGAATAAATCAAATCAAATCAAATCAAATTAATTCTTATGGCAGTGATAAGAAATTAAATTTTTAACAATATTATTTTCTACGGCTTTACCAGCTGCTATTTCATGGCATCCAGAGGTTCCATATTTCCATACATTAGTTAGTCATCCATACTAACCTTATATATTGTGGCTGCCCCTTGAGGGGAAGGGATAGCGGCTCTATATGTTGCCAGCACCTATTTCCGGACATTCATATACGCCAAACAAGTTGTTTACCAACCATGGTGGGGCTAGAGTTGATATGATAATTATGCTCTCAGACCTCAACTAACTTCAAAATCCTGTAGCTGTGGATAGAGATAGCGGGTCTCCACTCTTCATTTACTACCAAATTTGTCAAGTGCTCATACCACCTCCCTCACCCCGCACCACCCACTCACTATAATGGCCGGACCACTTGCAAAATGTTTCCGACGGCTATGTAATTAGTCAACTCATTTATAGCTCACAGACAGAAAAATAAAAATTACAAGCAAGCGATTTAACAGCAGTGTAGAGTCAAATCTTTAATCGTTTTATCTCAACACATGTCACACTTAGAATCCACTCTTTCAAAAAATAATAAAATAAATACCGGTATCAAATGCCGGTAGTCGTAATATACCATAACCACAAATAAATGAACTGCTGTGAACCTACCTGGAATAATACGTTCAAGCACTCTGGAAAGTTGATGCCAACTGAAAATTGTGGACGTCTGATTCAGTTCGGTATTTCAATATATTTGTTTCTAAAGAGCTTCGAATTTCCAGTGAACCAATCGTTTCCTTCCGTTCGTTGTGAGGTATACGCGGAATGATATCACGTTGTTAACATCAATGGGTGTAGAATAATTCATTACCAAGTGTTAATAAAACATTGACTTGTAATCGTTAATTTTCGTTACACATTATACGACGTTCATTTACTATAACGGAAATGATGTACATACGTGTATATCCTAATATGTATATTGTATACCGTATATATATATATATAGGCCTATCTAGATGTGTATAAGAGACAGCGTTCAAAAAGCATTTTCTTGGTTTTAGATCTGTCTGCGGGGTGGTTTAGAAATTATCTCTTAAACAGAAAACAGCTTGTTGAATTAAACGGTGTTAAATCAAATCTTGTTAATATTAATCACGGTGTTCCTCAGGGTAGCCTATTAGGGCCCCTATTATTTACCATTTATGTTAACGATATGCCGTCTTGTTTAGATGATGACTGTAATATGCTTTTGTATAGTGTAATCACATTCTCCCACAAAGACTAGAATGCAAACTAATTGATAACCTCACGAAATGTAACCTCTGGCTGATTGATAATCAATTGTCCCTTCATCCAACTAAAACTGAATGTATTCTCTTTGGCACTTCTCATAGGCTGAAGAAAGTCAATCGTTTTAATTATTCTGGACGTGAAGACTGCGATTCTGTAAATTACCATGGTGTCAAGATTGGTACCGATACTCAAGCTTTCTCGCTATCAGAGCCAAAACTCCTGGAAGGCGGCTCTGTAGAACGTGACAGTAGCGTCCCATAGAACATGTTTAACACTGTCTCTGCGCCTATCATATGGGAGTATTAGAATTTATCAATTCAATAAATATGCTTAAACGTCTCATCCAAAGCCAGTGCGCTATCGTAACCATGTGTTTTAGCCCAAAACACAAGAACAGCAAATGGAATTGAATCAGTGACAACACGTTTCAGTGGGCACACAGTGGCTACCACCAGACCCGACTGGGCCATGCTGCTCGCAAAACTGTAGCAGTAAGATGTAAAATACATTGCATTAAAGACCAGATCAAACGTGTGTTAAGCGTTATGGTTAACACATTAAGTAAAAAATAAATAAATAAATAAATAAATAAAATAAATTTAAAAAAATAATAATAATGTTAAGTAGAACTAAACAAACTATTAAAAATAATGGAAGGTTTGGTGATGGTATACCTGGTGTGATACCAGGTACTAGTGCGTGCCAGGCATATGTTACATGTTGGGCCATGTGGGCCTTCTCTTCAATTTTTGAATAAAATGTGCTACATACATTAAATGAGATGGAATAACAACATCAACAGTCATAATCCTTTTTTCCGTGTAGACAAACCGGATAGAGGTTTCCCTGGAGCTGTACAATGAACAGAACACTTGGTGTTGATTTACCGCCCTTGCTTATTTACTATATTTAGTCATTTTCTCCATTTTGGAGTTGTTGCCATGCATAAAGTGGTCATTGAACCTATTGTTTTTAAATATCATGTATCATTGAAACACTATGATTTATAATAATAAAGATTTATACACGATATTATTAATATTATTATTGTTATTATTGTCATTATGAATATTATTATTACTATTCTCTTTCTTATTTTTCTTCATCATCATTATAATCTTCTTATTATTACATCCAAACGTGTCGCCATAAATACTAATTAATAATTATTCAAATTCATTACACTACAAACATACAATAGGCAAAATACCTGCTAGCAAAGGTATATAGAGAGAAAGACCGTGAGAATAATAATTAATAATAAACAATTTACCAGTAATTATATAGGCCTATAAATTAGGCCTACTAGATTTTCTAATGCAACTTCGGCTTATGATATACTATGTGAAATTCAAGTTCTTAAATAAAAAGATACGATGTTTACAATTTAGCATACATCTCCCAGTAGAGAGGGTACCGTAATTATAAGAACTAACCAATCCGGTGTATCATATAATAGCTTGCAAACAGTGATAACGAACTACGTCAGGAGTGGAGATTCGTCTGGGGATAACAAAAAAATAATATTAGTTTGGACGGCGAATGGGTACAAAAACACCATCCTAGATCAAGATGCCCTGTATCTAGCGGCTTATTATTTTTAAAGTACAAATCCTGCCCTGTCTGTCGGGGGCGTTTCCTCGCCGTTGGGGAAATCCTAGGGCCGCCACTGGGGGATTTGTTTGCAACATACAAGTCATGATTTTTTTTAAATGTTAAATGAACCCTCTTTTGGAGCCCTGAAGACATTTTGACTGTATTAGCAGAGATATATTTTACTGGATATAATGTATGACGGCCTATGTGTTTTAAGTTAAGGACACTTTTATCGAGATTCCGTTTTTCAACACATAATTTATTTATAAAGAAAGGAAGACATATTTAGAAATAAAAAAGAATTAAGATCACTTGCAATCTATATTGAAAAGATGTTTTAGTTTAAGAAATGACCGTCTAAAAGGAATTAATTGATTTTGTTATGTAATACGGGCCGAAGGCCAAAATATCGAAATAAAGAAAGAAAAAAGTTCGTCCGTTTCCCAAAAAGAAAGGGGGGTCCGGGGGTTCTCCCCCGGGAAAATTGTGATTTTTAGAAGGCGGGAAATGAGTTTTCCCGACTTCTGAGGTTTCTTTTAATTACTTTTAAGTTCTTTAAAATTCAAGGTTCCCCCTCTTGAAAACGGTCAGGTAAATTTATCCTATTGTTATTACAGTACATAGGCCTTATGTGTGTATACATTACTTACTTACTTACTTCTTACTTCAGCTCCCAGGTAGGCTTCCGCCTGTCAGTGGTGCTAGCCTCTCTCTCCATTTTTGTCTGTCTAACATCTCACCGCTATTTCTTAATTCTTGGAAGGTGGGCATGTTATTCCTATTTAAAATATCTTTAATTGTGTCTATCCATCGTTTCCTCGGTCGTCCTCTTGGTCTTTTCCCACACGGTGTCCAGTTCCAGCATCTCTTAGCTACTCTATTTTCATCCATTCTCTCTAAATGACCAAGCCATCTTAACTGAGCTGCTTCAATTTTATTGCGAATGGGCGTCACACCAACCTGCCTTCGGATCTCCTCATTTTTAATTTTGTCCATTCTGGTCTTATTGGTATAAAAAAAATTGAGTAGTTGCATACGATTTTTTTTCCATGAATCCATAAATCCCAAAAAGGGAAGGGGGTCCGGAAATGAGCTTTCCCGACTTCTGAGGTGTCTTTTAACTACTTTAAGTTCTTCAAAAGTCAAGGTTTTCCCCTCTTGAAAATTATTTTAATGAATCAATGCACCCAAAGAGAAAATGGAGGTTCGGGTTCTTCCCGGGAAAATGTTAATTTCTAAATGGTGGGAAATGAGCTTTCCCGACTTCTAAAGTACCGTATCTTATAGCGATTTTAATTTAAGTTCTTCAAAACGGTCAGGTAATTTTTTCCCAATCCCAAAAAGAAAGAGGGTCGGGGGGTTCTTCCCCGGGAAAATTTTTATTCCTAGAAGCGGGAAATGAGCTTTCCCGACTTATGAGGTGTCTTTTAATTACTATTAATTTCTCCAAAAATCAAGGTTTCCCCCTCTTGAAAATGATTCAATAGAACCAATGAACCCCAAAGAAAAAAGGGGTCCGAGTTCCCCCGGGAAAATTTCGATTTCTAGAATTCGGGAAATGACCTTCACTGACTTCTGAAATGTCTTTTAAATGACTTTTTAAGTTCTTCAAAATTCAAGGTTTTCCCCTCTTGAAAATGGTCAGGTAAATTTTTCTCCTTTTTTATTTTATGTGTGTATACATAGGCCTACATAAATAAATGAGTAGTTGCATGCGTATTCTTTTTTTCCATGAATCGATAAGTCCCAAAAAGAAAGGGTAATCCGGGGGTTCTCCCCCGGGAAAATTTTAATTCGTAGAAAGCGGGAATGAGCTTTCCCGACATTTGAAGTGTGTTTTAATGACTTTTATGTTCTTCAAAATTCTAATTTTCTGATTGTAACATAAAAAAAATAAAATAAAAAAAATCAGCTCACGGGTCCTGAAAAGGTAGGTCTAGAATTTTTTTCCGGTCACACAAAAATCTCCAGACATTATTTTTTGCGGTTCCGCCGGCCATGAGTTTTAAGTTGGCGGGTAAGAGAACTTATATTGGGATGGTAGTCGAAGACGAGAGGAATGCGGTTATTAGTAATATCTTTGGGTTTATAATCTAGAAGGGATTGTCGGGGACGGGTTGAGGCTTTAGAAATAGCTGATAGTATTAGTTTAAGGGGATTAATCATTATTAAGAAAATGGCTAGTAAGTATGCCAATTTGTTTGTCATAATCATCCGAAGATGAACAAATTCGTTTAATTCGTAGACACTGACTATAGACAATAGATTTTTTAAGGCTTAAAGGGTGGGAGCTGTGAAAGTTCAGAAATTCATGGTTATCAGTAGGTTTAGTGTATAAAGAGGATGTGATTATGTTGTTAGTAGAGATGCCTACAAGAACGTCTAAAAATGGAATTTTAGAAGGCGAAGTAAATTTAATGTTAGAATGGAAGTTGTTAGCACGTGATTTAAAAGCATTGCGGGTATCTTAACCGTGGGGCCAAATGAAGAAAAAATCAACAATATAGCGAGCGTAGTGAAGGGGTTTAAGGTGAAAGGATGTAATAATAGCCGTCTCAATCTCGTGCATAAAAACATTAGCATAGCTAGGAGCCATTTTCGTGCCCCATAGCGGTCCCCTTAATTTGAAGATAGTGACTGTTGTTAAAAGTGAAATGGTTATGCGTAAGAATGAATTTAGTAATGGCAATGATATCATTAATATGTTCGGCTGGCACACATTGTTTAGAAAGGAAATTATTAAGAGCTTGAATACCTTCTTCATGAGGGATGTTAGTATAGAGCGAAGTGACGTCCATAGTGACTAGGATAGATTGGTTAGGTATATTAGTTATATTATCTAGGATTCTAAGAAAGTGCATTATACATAATGGTAGGATCAGCAATGAGAAGTTCATAAAATTCC